TAATTTAAACTAAAAACTGATGTTAGAGACAATAAATTAGCTTGTGTCAAAAAATTAGAAAGCAAGACAGACCAGTGTACTTTTTTGGACAAATTTAAAAATTGGACCAGGAGGAAAGATTGTGGTGGACTTCTTTATCCAAGTGATAACTTTTATTTGTTGGTGCGCGAACTAGAAAATGTTGTGCGTCTCAATGTTGATTTGAACAATTTGTCGTCTACCTCACTGAACTGTTTCCGTCTTAAAGAGAAAAGTATGGAGTCATTTATGGTAAAATACTACATGCGGGACATCTTCTCTACACAAGACAATGACACTGATGTACATGTGTGCCTAATGGAGGACATTGTGTCTCTCTTCCTTCCAGTGCGGGGGTTTGCAGTGGCCAGAGTGGAAAGAAACAAACTGGCACAGACACAGAAGTCGACTAAAGTCAAAATCAAACCATCTGTCAGCTTACGGAAGTCCTTGATGCCAAGGACATAGCTATTTAGGCATGTTTATTTTTGTTTATTATTATCATTATTGTAAATGGCTATTCTTTTTTTGCCAGTTTCAGGATCATGGGTGCTAATTACAGCAAATATGGTATCTACTTCACCTAGGTAGTTCAGGAAATGTTATAAAAGTACATATGTACCATGGTTTCTCCAATAGCAGTCATGTAATATGCACTACATATATCCATAGCTAAATGATTCAATGAATGACACTTGGCTAACACTCTTGGATACATTTTCTTACCAAAAAATCGAAGAAACAAAATGTTCAGTTTCAGTGAATATTTGGAAAAATATGGTACATTTACACATGCATGTAATATTCCTGTTCTTGGCATCACATAGAAGGGTAAAACATATGATCAACATGCAGTTGTTATAGTCATATTGTCACTTTGTGTAAACCTGTTATGTTACTTTTTAACATTGTCAGTCTTGTTTATTCAGCAACAAAATCAAACTGAAATTTGGTGATATAATCTATAGATCTTATCTTGTTTGCAACACTCTTCAAACTACTGGCAATTGCGCACATGCTAAGCAATGCCACCATTGACGATAATTGGTCCCTGATGATAACTGGTTGCAACCCAGTACCCATCAAACTGAAATGATGATAAGAAAGACAAATAAAATCTTTGAGGTTTAGATATAATTCATTTCAAAATCTGTTATTTACAATAATGTTTGACATAATATCACATTCATCACATTGTACCTAGAAAACAAATTCTCCTTAAATTTATGCAATGTCATAGGTTGCTATGTTAATATTTCATTGCAATGTTACATTTAAATATTTGTTGTATTTATTTGTGGTTCAATAGCAAGCATGCAATTTGTGTAATATACTATGAATGAAAGCTTGTTGCTATTTAATTTTTTAGTGGAAGATGCATCAAATATAGTTCGTTGGAGTTTAACATAATATATAAAATAAATATTTAAACACAAAATATTTTGCTGTTTTATGCCTATCAACAGCCAAGACTGGGATATTTGAGGATGTGCCAGGAAATTGTAAATGGTTGGCTCGTTATACATATACTACTATTACAATCCTGGTCTGCCTGATAAAATTAATGTTTAAGTAAATATTGATGACTATCACTGATATTCCCATAATTGTGTATACACTCTCAATAATAAACTAATATTTGTCCGATTCCTGAGCAGTATATGTGAAAGTGTGTTCCTATTTACATATAACTATATACTGGCCAGCTATAGGCACATCACAATGTGATATATACGTCTCTGCCATGGTGGAGGTCCGGTATAAAGTATTATTATGTTTCTCGTTCTTCTTTTCTGAAATATGTGGAGTTAAAATATTTTAATCGGCAAGAGATTGATAGTCTATTTGATATTTTGTAGGTACGTATCTGAAGATGTACGTGTAATATCTTTAAGTGGGTCATAAATCTAATATGGCTGCCATGACGTCATATTTCAAAACTTTAAAATAGTCATATCTCGAAGAGCTTTGACTGTACAGTGTTTATACAATTATCTTATAACGTAAATAATTTCCATATCTAACTTTTCCTCCATTACATGTTCAAAAAAATTGTCGAAACAAAAAATTCAGTGTTTGGTCAAGGGTCACATTTTTAATTGTTTTTTATATGGTTTCTTTGGGAAATTTCTTTGATAGATCAATGCAGATTGTCTTTCGGATGTATTTAATGTTATCACTTTTTCTCTAGCATTACCGTTAACGTTATACGCCATTTTGAAAATTAACTGTTATCTTTTAAACTCCCCACAAATTGGGAAAAATCTTGTTTTAGAACTATATCTTTTTTTTCAATACGAACAGTATCAATATGGAATAGTCTACCTGAAGAAGTAGTATCGGCACCCAATATAAACTCTTTTAAAAACAAACTGGACAACCACTGGAAGAATCAAGAACTTTATTATAACTATAGGGCAACAATCAAACTTTAACTATAGCTATATTTATGTACATGTGTATTTTCTATACCTGTATATTATGTATTTACATATATGAGTCTGATGAAGAGGACTTGTCTTAGTCCTGAACCGGAAATAAACTTAACTTAACTTATATCTATTTCATTTTCAACTTCATTAGATAAACAAAATGGCCGTCATGACGTCATATCCGATTTTGCCTCCAATTGTAATATCTCATTATCGACTAGATATATTTAATTCATTTTTGAATGTGTTATGCAAGATAACAAATAAGCAACATTTCTTCGGAAACTTTTTTGTAAAATACCAACGTTCGGTTTTCGGTAGGTGTCAACATTCAAATTTGAAATTTTCTTTAAAAAAAATATTTAAAAACCTCTTCTCAAATTCTACATGGCCAAGAAGCAAGATATTTCAAATCTGAAATGTTCAAGGCACTGTCTATCAAGTTTGTTATTATAAATTACCTTGACTCAGTTTTAAGGTCACATAATTCAATTATGTAAAAATCTTTGAATAAGATTATTTCAATATCCAAGAGACACATGGTGGAATTTTGCCTCTAACATAATTAACAGTGATCAATTGCAATTGAATATATTAATTAACTTTTGTCTGAAAATTCACCTTCCAGTCATCCAGTGGGGTCAAAGTTGAAAATTGCTGTTTTGAAAACCTTCTTCTCAATTTCCACACGGTCTAGAGCCTTGATATTTCATATTTAGGACGCTCTGGTGATTTGCTATCAAGCTTGCTAATGTAAATGATCTTGACATAATTTCAAGGTCACAGGGGTCAATTATGTAAAATTTTCCATCTGATGATGGTTGTTAAAAATGCATAACACCGTGAAAGTGCTATCCTTCTCATCCCCATTTAATTTACACATACTCACTGTACATTACATAATCTAATACATTCAAACTGTAATTAATTTGGACTCTTCAATACCCAGTGTTGAATTCCTATCATGGTAATCAAGCCAATGCTATGTACTGAAGCCATGCTGTTATCATCATCATCATTATAAACAGAACAAGAGGCCCATGGGCAGGCATCGCTCACCTGGTAAATCTAGCTATTCAAGAATTCAGCAAAGAGGTTCAAATATGAAAATGATTTCTGAAGTAATTTTCCTATTGGGGGCTTGCCTAGTGGTCAAACAGAAAGCAGATTCGCAAATTCATTAAAAATTGCTGAAGACAATATTCTGGTACACAACAAAGATATTTAAGATATTACATTTCTCTCATCGGGTCACCACACCACTCCTGCCCGTAATTGCCAGGATCCAACATTTATACATAACTGATTCCCCTTCAACTAAGAAAACTGCAGACTAAATTTGGGCAAAATCTAAACATTCAAACAAGAGAAGTATAATATACAAATATTTGCTCTTTTTCCCCTATTGGTTCCCACTCCTCTCACCTAAAGGGACAAATCTTCACTGTTTATAAAAAAAATGAATCCCTTCTACTAAAGAATGCCTCAGACCAAATACAATTATTCCTACAGTACGATTCCAAAACTTTACTCTATTTCCCCTACTGTGGCCTGCCCCATGGGGCCAAGATACACCTTATATAAAAAAAATAAATCTTTCATCCAAGAATGCTTCAAACTAAATCTAGGCAATATCCATTCACTCCTTTGGGAGGATTGGAATTTAAAAGAATTTACATTTCCTGTATTGGTCCCACCCTTCCTGTCATTGCTCCCCCCCCCCCCCCCCCCCCCCCCCCCCCCCCCCAACCCCTAAGAAATTTGAATATTCATTCTCTCCTTCTCCTACAGTATAGAATTTTAAAGAAAATTTTCCTGTCAGTCAGGCCCCAAGGAGTCGCTAACCAATATCAATATGAACTTGAATCCCCTTCTCTAATGGATGCTACTGAAGTAATTTGGTCAAAATCTGTTCAGACACTCGTGACTAGTAGCAATTTTTATTAAAATGTTGATGGATAATGGATGCTGTGCCTTGGCTTAAGCTCACCAGTCCTTCTGAACAGGCGAGTTAAATATTGTTGGACATATATACCAATTTAGTGGTATTTGTTACTTAATGCCAGTCATTTTCATAGTTTCTTGGTTTTACACATTCTAACTTGAGAATGTTGTATACATATGTATATGTTGATGTTTTCATTTCATAATATTTACAGTTCTTATTTGTTTAATTTTCATATTGATGGACGTTGAGCCTCCACTTGATCCTTAGGTTCCAGCCATTGGTGAAACAGAGGCAACAAGTAAAGACCCCTGAAAATTGACCAAATGCTTCACCCACCATATTATCAGAAATCATACAGTTAAACAAAAAAATAACTAACACAATGCATTTTGTACAAATTTGTCACAGCCATATCTATAGATGATACTAACCCTAACTAGGGTACCAGGTATATGACATTTATCCAAATAGTGATCATGTTAAAAACTGAGAAAAAAACCAACAGACCATGGGGAAAAGACGCCTGAAGATTCTTTACAGTGCAAAATGCACAAATAAATCAGAGGAAATTATTAAACACAAATCACAACAAATCCATAGCAAACTGTAGTTATTAAATCCTTTATTCAGCTATTAATCCAATGGATGATGATCACTTGTGAGTTAACACTGTTCATCTTGTTTCATTTTGTTGATCTCTAATCAATGTAGATACCGACTAGAATTCTAAGGTGTCAAATATGGTAGGAGTAGCAACATCCTTTCACAGTTTTGACGATATGTTCTGCTCTGAAATAGAAAAGACACATATAACAACAGGAAATTTTTGATCAACGGAAAACATGGGCAGGAGGGAGGGACTTTTAGTAAAAATAAAAGGTGGATGTCACTGATTTATCATTTGTGGTTTGTTGCCAATAAATGACTCTGCATTTTCATGAAATGGGGAGATAACTCTAAAATACAAGGGAACTGGCCAAACCTTGGTTGCCAGCTTCATGATAACTTTGCGAAATGCAAATCACTATTAATTCAATACAAATTTTAAAATGATTTTTTAAGTCAATAATCCAACGGATGAGGATAACAAGTAAGTTTACACTGTCCATTTTGTTGATCACCCGTCAATGTAGAACTTAAATTCCAAGGTGTAAATATGGTAGGTACAGCAACATCCACATTACCACAGTCATAACATCCTTTTACTGCTGTGATGATATGGTCTGTCCTAAAATAGAAAAGACCTGACAGCAGAAAAAAAGTTAATCAAAGGAAAACATGGGCAGCATGAATGGAATTTTAGTAGAAAATAAATGTGAATGTTACAGATTTACCACTTGTGGATTTGTTGCCAATAACTGTCCCCGCCTTGATGAAGTGGTATCAGGGGAGATAACTCTGAAATACAAGGGAAACAAGCTTATTAGCAAGAAACAGACATCCCCTTCCATGCCATAATTAGCATTTTTGAAGCAAATTATCATCTTTATATCAAAAATCTATTTTTTGCAATGGTGACCTTTGTAGTTGACCTCCTACTTAGCAAGCACTGTAACAGGTTTCAATCTAATCAGTCATCCTTTACTCAAGTTATCATCTGGAAATCATCCATCCACCCATCCAAACAGACAGACAAAGACAAAAAGTATAGTCTCTGCCAGTTTCTGGGATTAAAAACCTAACCTTAGTTGTCTGGCTCTCGATAACTTGATTTATAGTTTGGGAACATAAATCTTTATTATCAGATAGCATGTAGTTAAAAAAAATAATAGCAAACACATGAAATAAAGTAGAAGTTTGTCACCGCCTTATCTTTAGAAGATATCAATCCTAAAAAGGGTATATGTCATTTCTTCAAGTACTGAACATAACAAATTCATCTCAAATTGCTGTTTTTTAATAATTTATTCAGTCAATAATCCAATGGATGATGATCACTAATAATTTAACACTGTCCATTTCCTTGATCACTCTCAGTATAGATAAACAACTTAAATTCCAAGGTGTAAATATGGTGGGTGGGAGCAACTTTTGCCAAAGGGCAGTCAGACTATCGCTATAAACTATAAAGTAGATGGAATGTAGCTACACAGATAAAGCAGAGACCAACTAATAAGGGTTGAGACAAGGAAATACTCTCACATTTGATGTCCTAGATGTTTCAAGCCCTTCCTCCTTAGTGTTCAGCAAAAAGCCTGAACCTAATGGGGAAAGGCGGACACCATTCGCAGCAAGTAATTCTTTGGAACTAAACGAAATATTTGAGTACTTAATATGTCCCCCATCCAAAGACAAAACATATGGACAAATAAATACTTAACTGTACAAGACTTTCCTTTATGGCCTAGTGGTTATCACTATAGCACCATTTACAACAAGGAAGTTACCGAGACCAATCCAATAAAACGTTAGGGAGAGCATTATAAACAAATGACATGGTATCTTAAAAAGTGCTTCACAGATCGTTTAATGGAATCTTGCTGAGGTCATTTGCCCAACAATGATTTACCACAATATATATATTATCCTCAAACTTTCTCAAGTGAATAGCCGTAGCCTTCAATCTTATGGCAGACTAACCACCTTGACCTTGCCACCAAAGGGAAGCCCCAATGTTTTCCAATCCTACGTTTATCCGTCTCGTCTACGTTTTATGAAGGTGTGTTTGATAATAGATGACCCCACAATCCAAATAATGATTTTTCCTTAAACAATCTTGATTTATGTCCAACAGGTACAACCTTTACAATCTTTTCCCTGAAGAAACATACCCAACTACTGTAGCTGTTAAACCCTCATGTAAGACTTTTGAGCATCACTATTCCGTCAACCTATTTGTTTACTGTTAGTATCAGTAACATCCTCAAAATCATGAATTCTACTATAAAAGCTTAACCCAGCAATGAAGCATGTAGTGTAAGCTAAGTCTTTTGCTGACAGGAAAACAATGAATTTGATTACATGAGGTAATGGAAAGGGAGATAGACAAGGTAACTTATACTGTAATCCTAAATCTTAAGTCATTTAAGCCCTCTGGTAAGATTTAGTTGTATTTAATGATATTCAGGCACTAACTAGCCTTGCTACTTCACATTAGAGATCAACAAAATAAATATGGGGGGTCCTGGTTCTGGTTGTTTCTATACCTCTTGTTCCAATGCCGAAATTTTTCCCATGGAAATCCAGAGATGGTATCTGCTATCTTATTCTGTGCACCAGGAATATGCTGAGATTTAAACTAAATGTTATATTGCATTGTAATGAGAACAAGCTCTCAAGGAGCTCATAATCGTGTCAGATTTAAATATTTTCTGATTCAGTATCATGTAAAATGAACTATTATCCATCCAAAAAATTATTTTCCTATTCTCTGAGTTTCTTCCCCATATATGTGAAGCCAATAGAATAGAAAGGAGCTAAGAAATGTTGTCATGCAATATTGCAGTACTCTCCCAGAAAGAAGGCCATTTAAAAAAATGTCCGACTTCCATTGCAAAAAGTGCCACAACTCAACTCAATAAGACCTGCTGTCACATGCCATTTCAATATATGTATTCATGTATTTTAAGTTTGACTGTGTAATTAGGTTTAAGTATTGTTTATAGAGGTTTTTTCTCAACTGTTGTGTCCGCAGGCATGCATGTGCAACTGGTAAGCAAGAACACAGACAGGTAGACAACTAAGAGTGAGTGATAAGACCTGACTCGGTTCTATGCTCAAATTACAAATTGGGGTTATTATTTCTGTTCAGTTTATCCCAATATTATTTCATTACTTTGTCTATATGGTGTCTGTTATTTATGCTGATGGAGTAAATTCATAGTGTATTAAGAGTCGCTGAATGTTACTTGTATTGTTAGGCGTGACCTAGAATGGCTTAGGCATATGCAGTATGTTGTTTGGAGCTGGTAAGTGAGGGTGCATAAATACTTTGTATACAAGGATGTTTTCATGTATTTAGTGTGATATCAAGATGTATTCCGGGTGGTGTTGTTGGATCGCGATACATGCGGACAATGTACCTACAATGACCAGGTGAACTGTAACATTTCACACCAAGGAGTTATGGAACATGACTGTTTACATTCTGTTATGGTGAACTTTTGAATGCGTGAGAGTTGGAAGATTGACTGTGTTTTTGTAAATAAATTCCAGAAAATAACATTGTACAATATGTGAATAAATCTTCCATATATTGTAGACTGTCGTCTCAAGTACTACTCAACAGTAACGCTCATGTTTCATTACACCTACACTCTCTGTAATAGCTGAAAGGACTGATTGGACTTCCAAGAGGAGTCTGGGAAAGTAGTAACACTGTTGAACTCGTGCAGAAGCTTAAACACATATGAAATAGTGAGACAACTCTGCTTTAGTCATTGCATTATAAAGCCCTCTATTTAATGCTCTAGAGGAAGGTATAGCCCAGCCATAAAACATCAGCAAGCCCATTAATGACTACTTACACTTTCTTTCTGGACACTAGAGCTCTCAAACTAGAGTTTAAAGCTGGCAGCTTTTTCTGAAGGAACACTGGATTTTTCTCCCTGCAATATCTATTTCTAGTCCTCGGAGAAGGATATGTTCTGGGTGGGCAGTATTCATGTATAAATATCATTAATCTTGGTTTTTGGCTTGTTAAGATTGTACAACATTTGTGGGAATGCTCATTATTTTTGTGAAAAAGGACACTTCAATGTACTTCCCATTTAAGATTTTTTTTGTCTAATTATGTCCGAAATATGCAAACCTAACCCCCATAATAGGTGAACTATTAAAAGTTAATATGTAAGTTAAATTTAACTATCCAAAACTGTATTCTAATAGACATAAGTCAGACGTGTTGTCCAGAAGCCAGAACATACTTTCTGTTAATAATCTATCACACATGTCCAGTATACATTCGCTCCCGGGTTAATTACATAAGCTTACCAATACCGTCTAGCAGGACAGGTCAGCAAAACCTTAGCTTGTCGTAAACCACCTAATCTACCACTATGTGTGTGCATTAGACCATGTAAATAACTCATGTGTTATCCACTTCTTGTTAGCAAATATGTAATATTAGATTATCAATGTCTACGACTTTTAGTATAAATACGACTAGGTTTCTAGCCAGTCATCGAATCGGTTCCTGAAGGCATGCGAGTGTACCACCTCTCCATGTCTACACACAATAAATTTACATCAACCTGAACAGCGTTTGGATTTCTTCATCTCCACTCAACACTGCACCACTCTTCATTCTCAACAAAGAAGTTCACCCACTACACTTTATCGGACACCACATCACTTTATTGGTCCCGTGACTTCACTTTATAGGGTCTGGCTGAATACCTGATGGGAAATGATGAGCAGTTCCTGCTCCTGATGTTATGGTAGTAGAGTTAGCTCCTCCTCACTATTACGCTATTACACTTTGGAAATGGCTGCCTCTGTTCATCCGTTGGACCTAGAGCTGAAGGCCTCTTCACTTTGGACTTTGGCTTGTTTCTTAAACATAGGGAATTAGTATTAGAAATATTCAGCTTTTCTTTTATTTCAAATATGTACAGTGTGTTGTGCTATTTCCTCACCAGTCCAAGCCCAATCCACTTACATTGTTTTGATATCTACCAGGCCCAATTCACTAACATTGTTTCGATATCTCCCAGGCCCAATCCACTAATATTGTTTCTATATCTTCCAGGCCTAAAGTAATCCACTTACATTGTTTTAACATCAACCAGGCCCAATCCGCTTACATTTTTTAAATATCTACCAGGCCCAATCCACTCACATTGTTTTGATATCTACCAGGCCCAATCCACTTACACTGTTTTAATATCTACCAGGCCCAATCCACATACATTGTTTAATATCTACCAGGCCCAATCCACATACATTGTTTAATATCTACCAGGCCCAATCCACATACATTGTTTAATATCTACCAGGCCCAATCCACATACATTGTTTAATATCTACCAGGCCCAATCCACTTACACTGTTTTAATATCTACCAGGCCCAATCCACATACATTGTTTAATATCTACCAGGCCCAATCCACTTACACTGTTTTAATATCTACCAGGCCCAATCCACTTACACTGTTTTAATATCTACCAGGCCCAATCCACATACATTGTTTTGATACCTACCAGGCCCAATCCACATACATTGTTTTGATACCTACCAGGCCCAATCCACATACATTGTTTTGATACCTACCAGGCCTAATCCACATACATTGTTTTGATATTTACCCAGCCAAATCCACTTACTCTGTTCTGATATCTACCAGGCCAATCCATGTACATTTTTTTAACATCTAAGTTTGATTCAGAGCTTAGCGTTCGTGAAGTCTAATTACACAGAACAATAATCGAAGATATTTACTAACTACAAGAGTCACTTCTCTATTCCTAAAGATGCCACATCAACAGTAAGCTCCATTAAGCTACTAAAACTTAAGTAGATTAACATTTCACTAAATAATAGTAATATGAGCAATAGAATCTAATATTCTATCTCAAGCTGAAAAAAAACCCATTGTCGTTTAATATTATAGGGCATTAAACAGGTAGGTTTGAGTAATTGATTAGTTAATCAAATGCAGCTGCAGTGTCATTCTGATATAGAAACACAAAGTTTGTTAAAAAATTTCCAACGAAATAAACAACATATATAATTGCACAGAAAATTTCTGATATCTGACTTTGTGTTAAAATGACTATCTATAACTGATTTGTTCTACACTGACTATATTGTATAGTCAGTGCAAAAGTCATAGGTGAGCATGAATTTACCTTTGTTCTAGTTTTAGCCACTCTATCAGCAGTTGATAAACACTGGAGGTGATTAAATTTGATTATAAACAGAAAAAAGCGAGACAACAACAACATTTTTTGTGTAAAAATAGACAGTGATGCATTGGTTATCAGGCCATGTCAAATATATGATGCTCTTTTTTTGTTGCAAATGTTTAAAAGTACTTTAATGTGTTTCTATTTCAAATGACCTTGCACTTGAGTAATTAACTGATTACAGCTGTAACAATTCCTCAAATGCAGGACTACACGGTATGAATAGTTTCACAACACAATGAAAATAAATGTGACCAATTTTTCTAAACAAAACGTTATAGTACGCACAAATGAGGGAAATGAAATCATGTGGGGTCAACATGATGCATTGTCTGGACATTCGTTTTGGACCCTTATGTACTTCAGGCCGACTGTACCTGCATAACTTCAGCTATTGTAACATGTCAAGCTTCCAGAAAGAATAGAAACTGTGATTAAAACCATTCATCTTAAAATGCAATGATTAAATATTTTATTGCAAATTTGTATATTATTTTTCACATTTTTACATTTCCAAACACCATCCCAGATATAATGATATAACCAATCAATCCATCCACAAATGCCAGTGTTTTGTTGTCTGTCAAGTGGATGAAAACCCATCATGACTAATAAGCCAGACCTCCTTCTTGCAATGTTTTTGGCTATGAAAGTCCAAACATGCATGTCTTGTACTGGAAATGTGACAAATTTTCAATTTTAAAATTAAAATAAAATCAAAAATTAAAAATTAAAGTCACTTTGGCTACACATTTATTTAACTAGCAACTTGTAGACTGAGAGATGGAAAAAATTAACCTTATTTTCATAATTTCAGTTATAAAAAAGAAGTTTACCAAGAAAGATGGCTCATTTGAGAACAAAAATGATCTAACAATAAACATTTGAATCTAGCTAGTCCTTTAGAAATTAAAAGGTCCATAATTTAAATAAACATAGGTATCCAACATTTTCGCACCATTATTTTCTTTTGATTATTTTGTCATCAAAATGGCATTCCCATTCAAATGAAGATTATATGTAATATACGAGTACTTCTGGATCACTCTTAACTGATCACATGATGCAGGTATATCTTTGATTTAGTAATGTCATCAGAGCAGAGCTTCAGATGATTTTGCATTAACATGGGTCATTGGGCCCGTCTAGTCCAAAAAGTACGGGTCATTTTCAAAACCATGGGCCAGCAATTCTGAATGATAAATAAAGACATAATTTTAATCAATATCGCCTGTAGGGACAGTTACATTATCTAAAAAAAATATGAGAGCTTTTAAACATTTGCTGTTTGAGTTTGGTCGACAGACTATTAAATTAAATTCATTGGGTTTTCCAATAACTCAAATGCCTTCTTTCCATGCCGATTAAACATTGTAAAAATACCGAGCGACGACAGGTACGTGTAACGTCACAACGGGCATTGGCTCACGCCAAACTTACTTTCAATCGAAATAATTGTGACAGACTTTAAATCTGATACTGTGATTTAGGTAAAATATCATTTTTGTTTTGATTACAGACTGCTTTCATTCAACACTCATTGTAATTAACCGTTTAACACTTCAATTTTTACACCAAACCCGCTGACCCATTTCTCTTTTGTTGTGACCGGGTCGACTCGTCACGAGCCAAACAAATTCGATATCATGCAAATGTCATTATATTTTACAATTACGTGACGGACAGTGACACTACCTTTTCCATATTCGAAATATTTACTTGCCGATTCTTTTTTTTTCATAATGAATTTGTCCATGACAATTCACAATTCCGTCTGACATATTCCCCGCAAAATGTGTTGTTCGGTTGTATGATCTTACAGATTCGCGAAAAACTTGCGGAACGCAAACTACTTTCGTTTTAGCATATATTTGCGAAGTTGTGCGTCATTTTAAAAATTTACGCGGGATTGACGCCGGCACACCGTCAATCCGAAGCTCTGGTCAGAATATCAAAATAGCAGAAATCCACTTCAATCCCACACTGCCTTAGAAATTAGTTACTCCTCAAATTAGTTTGGAAATATTTCAGAAAACAGACCAAAACATCAATCAAATGCGAAAAGACATCTCACCAAAATGTCACTGTAACAATTTAGAAACCATAGACCACATCTTTCTCTGGTGCAACAAACACATAACTGCACAACAAACATTTTTAAAAGGGTTGGGGAAATTAAATGTATCCCCAAACGACATACATACACTACTACAACCTAGCCCAGTAGAACATAAAATCCACAAACTGATACCAGGCTGTCAACCAAAATATAGGAGGAGTATAGGAATATTTTTTCAACAAATATAGGTCTCTTTTGCTAGTTTTGAGGCAAAATATCATTCAAAGGCACTTATTCTAACAATTCTTATCTTCACGTACTGTTTCTATATCAATCAATGATTAAAAACTACCTTAAAGTAACCATTCACTTCAACAGCATCACAATCCAGGCAGAGAGCTGCTGCATAGCTCTTCATCATCATCTGAATGGGCACCTAAAAGGCCAATATCCTGTTCTACTGCTTTGCAAGGTGCCCGTAATGGCAATAAAGAGATGCACTGAATCATTTTCTGGTGGCTGGTGATGCTGTTGAAGACTTCAGAATTCTCTAACCTGTAAAATAAAGAAGCCAAAAGCAGTATCAAAGAAATATTTACAATATCTACATTTAGCAGCGACAAATTTCCTGAAAAATATAGGAACATTTTTCAAAAAACAGAAAAATAAAGGAAATATAGGTGGTCTTTCAAAACAGATTTTTTTAACCAAAATGTAGGAATATAAGAATAGGTTGATAGCCTGTGATACTGAAATACCTAACACAAACAGACTACATAGACCACATTTAAAACAAACATCACAAGGGAGTTAACTCCTATGGAAATACACAATGAATGAAAACAACAAACACACAACATCTACAAACTACACTACTAGTAAGTCCTATGTCTGTTCAGTACACATAATTGGGAACCTGAAGGTGCAACGGTCATGGACTGCTGAACAGTCAGATTCTGGCATTGCACGCTGGCTTGTACCATATGGTACCTGGATAGGTAAGGCAATGGGGATAGACAGCTGTCGATAATTCTTTATACAGAGCAGTTTAGTCAACACTGGATGAAGGATAGTAAGACTAAATACATCGCAATAAATACATACACAACCTAACAACAAAACACACTCGCCAAATACAGAAGAAAACTACACAAAACAACACAATAAACATCAGATAGGATCCAAATCACTCACAGGGAGGCTGTACCAGGGTGGAATACTACTGGCCCTCCCACTCATTGGTACATACCGACATTTCTTGAGGTGTGTGGTGGCCTACTCTGTGCCCCCACCCAACTCATACACAAGACAAATAAGACAGCAAAGACATTCAAACTTACAGACACAGACATAGATCCAATACACAATGCATAAAAACTCCTGTGATACATATCAAGTTGGAGTGTTCAAGACTCTCCCCCACCCCCATCCATATCACTGCAACCCTAAACATACAAAGAGGAAAGAACTAAAATGTTATCAACTACTACCGCCATAAACCCCACACAATCTAATGAATGGAATAAAATATGACAGGAAATCATTCTAGGTCTACCCCAGTAATCCCCAAAACATATGGTTGCATATTTTCGAGTATAATTAGGTCACATTTTAAGGTATGGGTGCCCTAAAAAGGGCTGTTTTATAATATTTTCGAAGCCCCTCTTCAAATGGACACAGTCCCTCGGAAATTTGAGCCACTACAATAGCACTAGATTGCTAACAAGGTCCTGCTGTAAACAATCGGTTAATCATGGTCTGATTATGTAAAAACTTCTGTATCCTAAGTCCTGGCACCTTGGACACATCCCCTCATAAACCTCGGCGACTGCATCCCGGAAAGACATCACCAAATCCTTAATGTTGTCCACTATCTCAGTGGGCTGGCGTCCTGGGACGATGTCATTAGTAACAAGATGTATTACCACCACATCTGCTCTCATAGATAAGGCCTCATCACCGCAAGATGTGGTGAGCATCTCAAAGGTTAAGTCACTATATCCTCTAACAATAACGGTCCACCCATGGTGGAATCCATGTCTCTGCATGTAGAAACCTAGCTGTTTAACGCAAGAACCTCCAAAAAAGAGTAGTCTTCATGGTAAGATCAACCTGATTAATCAAACCAAAACAAACATATACTTATACTACTTTAAAAATAAACAACTACATAGCCATATCAAATCTGAAATCCACATATCCCCAATCAGTAAAATGCACTACAAACAAAAACCCATCATCAAACCACTACACCGCCAAATAACCCTCACAAACAAAACAATATCCTAATAACAACAGCAACAACCATGCACCAGAAACCACGACTCTGAAACAACAATAAGAATCCACAAAGTGCACAACAACAATACCGTCCTTAAAGCTGTCAAATAACATAACTTGGGAATCAAAAATAAAAGTAAACAACATCAAAGACAAATAAACTCATTCTAAACACATACTACTAAATATCAGGATACCGAATATCTTTTAAACTTCTCTTCATGAAAGAAAAAAAAACATAGTACGAACATGATACATCCAGCAGACAGGACTTTAAACAGTGGCCTGTGTGAGGATTGTCCAACCTCAAACGAAAAAGATCCTCCTGCGGTTATCGATAACAAGAGTGGGCACTTGACTCCACCCAGGAGCCCATATAAGCCCAATGTATACATAACAACATTTGGCCAAAGTGTCATTGTTTTTAAACTATATAAAAATATAAGTTCTAAATTCCCCTGATCTAATAAGTTAGTTATCATAGAAAGACAGGCTAGTGATTGGGCACGACATTGAAAACAAGGACCCCTTCCACCACCTAGAGTCCAGTCACAGCTCATCAAGATCCCTCATTTGCCACAGGAGTCGTCTTCAAATTACAGACCAGTCAATACCCCCCCCCCCCCCCCCCCCCCCCCCACAAAAAAAAAAAAAAAAAAAGAACGTTGCTAGAGAATCGACTCCAGTCAACTGGACAATATCCGGAGACGAAAAACGAACACAATCATCGCCATCACATGCCCGATACACATGTCGGTCATTTCAGGTGAGCGAATTTGAGGTCGTACATGTGGATATTTTACTGAAAAATACTGGTGTGTCATCCGTCAGATTTCAATAAACCTTATAGTGTGAACACATTTTAATTAATTTATGTATTTGTTTGGTAGCTGTTTGTCGACATAGCATATCTAACGAGAAACGATTTTTCAGGGGTCCAAGAATATTGCAAACACGTGACCCCTAAGCCGGACCGACCCAACATATCAAAACTACGTGTGGAGATCGGTAATAAAATGCTGATAACTGCTCTAGTAAATACCCTAAATTAACCACAAAGTTAGCACATAACAGAAAACGAATTCTTGATAAACATTTCTGAACTGATATTAAGCTGAAATTTTGGTAAAATAAATGTCAACAGTTTCACCGTTTGTTTGTTTGGTTTTTTTTTGTTGTCGATAAATGGCTCCACTTCTTTCAGGAAGTCAGAACAGGGGAGATGACTGTAAAATACAAGGGAAATAACCCAACTTCATTGTCTACTTCTTGATAAAGTAGATTCATGGTCTGAAAAAAAATCTATTGATCTCGGCCAATTAAAGTAATGTAGCGTTCCCAAATGAGAACAAGGTAAAAAGAAAATCACCAAGCAAGCTTATGAGTATCAAACAAGTCCAACTTGGTGTTTTCTTGAAGGTTCTTTTTATATCACACAAAAGAAAAGAAAATATTTTCAGTGAGATCATTATGACGACCGCAAAACTTCACCATAATCTTCATCAGTCTACATACCATGAAACCATATGTTGTGAGTTCACCTGGAAATAATGCCATGAATATCTCCTTTGATTTAGATTATCATTTAACGAAATACGCTCCAGTACAGTTCACATACATTATATCTGTCTTGCCATTCACCGCGGCGTTCTTTTGAAAGAAAGTTGATAACGAGAAAACCAAAGTGTTTTTATTAGTATGGAACGGGGAATGAAATACGTAGTGTACAGCATGGAAATATCGAAAGATCCTATGGAAGGAATGCTATCTGAATGCTACTTGATCAAGAGCTCCTTGGAGTTCTTAATAAACACACACATACATTTATTATTCAATCAATTAATTGAATATAAAGTATGATATAATATGCGTATGTATATGTCAGCCTGGTATGATAGTACTAATGATGGCAGTAAGAAGCCATCCTAGAAGTATAGTTAAACAATCAAGCAAGCCAACAATACAACGTCGTTGATATTTGTGCTTTTTAAGTTTAAGAATCCAGCTTAAACAAAGAGAGCCGTATTCTTAGCATTCATTAATTGAGAGTTTTAAGAAATCAATGCAAGACCGTCAATAGACAAGGATCGAGTTTTTGGGTGCCTTAATGAATGCAAAATTCCACGAAAATCGTGAACTTTGAATTTGAAATACCACTCACGGCATACACAGAGATATTATCTATAGTTTTTTTTTTTTTTTCTTATTTTTTTTCCTACATGACGAAATCATTTTCTGGGCAGTCTGCTACAGTGGTGGATACATATTATTGTACCGTGTTTCGCTAAATGAGTTTATGTCCCTATCTCCCGGTCGAATTCGGAACATTTTACCATTGTTTAAGAGAAAATTGCCGATTAGCTAATGGCTATATCTGGACTGTTTACAAAGCTACTGTTACCGTGTTTAACACGTCCTCAGCGACATGATCTCG